AGCACAGTTGGGGTTGATAATCAGTTTAAACTTAATTTAATTTCTTGTTAAGGATTATTTGAGGGGAAAGTGTGCGCACTAAGTTGGCAGCTATTTTAAATATTAACTATATAAGTCAATTTGAATTTTCCAAGTTTCTTTCAGAATGTTCGACACTCGCACAAACTGTTTAATTTCTTATGGACTTTCGTCTGAAAAACTGTTTGTCTGTTTTTACAGGCTACACTGTCCTCCCGTGATAGACTACCCAAGAACACCGGGACTGTCAATCAGAATTCAAATAATGAAATATCAACGTAGTTTGTCTGAAAATTAACTAAAGGTTGAAATGAACAATAAAAGTAGAATTAAGCGCAATCAAGTGAAATAAAAATAGCGTTATTTGTTCGTACGATAATTTATTTTTTTATACTTTTTCGCCTGTTCCTCACACGTCAAATATAGATGAGGAGGTGTCACCCATCTAAAGTAATCCAAGACAGTCTTGGATTAAGAATCTACAATTAAGAAGATTCCAGATTCCAGATTCCAGATTCCAGATTTCAGATTTCACGTACTGGATTTCGGATTCCTTGTCCATAGAACTTAGATTTCAGATTCCAATCGTAAGCTGGATTTCGGGTTCCTTGAGTTGAATTCCGGATTCCAAAGCCAAGTATTCCTTTCCCTGTTCGCCGTTTTCTAGTAACTTTCGTAAATAGTGCAATTGCAGTGGAGCCTCGATTTAACGAAGTACCATGTGACTGGGAAGATTTGTTCGTTATATCGAACACCTCCATTTAACGAATTTTCGGGAAAACTACCAGAATGTTTGCTATACTGAGGTAAAGTTAGTAATTGATTTACAAACCCAGCATTTCCGGATCTAAAAAAATACTGTAATCACATTTCAGTACCTGGCTATACAGAGCTATGGCACTAGAACTAAAAAAAAAATCGACTTAAAACTACTGTACACATAAATTTTATCCTTGTTGGTCTGTTTGCTATTCATCTTTTATCACTTGCTGACATTAATTTATTTGTTATATCGAGGTATATTTCACCTTTGCTTGCGGATTGTGTTCGTTATAAGGACGTGATTTCGTTAAATCGAGGTTCTGTTCCATACATTTTATTGTAATTTAGACCGGGCTGAAGAAAATCGTTCCTTATACCGATAACGTCGTTATATAGAGGTTCGTTAGATTGAGTTTCCACTGTAAATATGAAAGGCAGGCGTGGATCTAGGTTAAATACTGACCGATTTTCTAAACGAGCGCCGAAGGACCAAGCTTCTAGGGGGGTCCGAGGGTATGCCACCCGTTTTCCTGGGTTTCTGAGTCATTCAGACAGGATACTGGCCAGTTCCATTCTCCTCGAATTAAACACTGCAAATCCACGGATTATCTCATCTCTCAGTTTCAACTTGGAAAGCGTTTTTATATTAAGCAACCACGACGACCACAACGACAACTTCAAAAAATAGGTTTATTATATTTATTATAAGAAAATCTTTGACGACCAGGACTCCGTTAAACGACGTGGAAACGAATTTTCCTTCCTCTTTTGAACCTGTAGATCCGTCCCCTGAAAGAGCGGGTCCTTCTCATCTTTGAGAGAACTCAAAATCAACGTTTTCAATGCCGTCGTCGTCGTCCTTGTTTAAGGTCCCCAATAGCAGTTTGAAGACTCAGTTCCTCTGGGAAGTTTCCATTACATCATGATTGCATAATCGATCAAATTCGGTGTTTCCCGAAAAGTCATGCACTGATATCACATGAATGTTAAAAATCGTTAGACAATAGAAATAGTGATAACTCTATAATAAAATCTCGAAAGCTGCATTGAAAAAATTTGGGTTTTACCTACTACAATAGGCCACTTCCGTTATAAAATTCGATAAAATTCAGCATGATAGCGAGTCTCAGAGGATACAAACAAAGCAAATAATTAAAGATGAATAAACTTGTCTATTCATTTTTTCTTTGTGTCTTCTAAGACTCGTTATTATCCTGATATTTTGATTTATCGAAATTGAAATATTTTCCAAGGTCGTGGTCCAGAAATGAAAAACTGGTTTTAACATGATTAAACCGGTTTTTTTCGATTTAAAATACACTGGTACCCCCCAATTCCAAAGTACTCACGAGTAATCTTTCCAAAAAGTGGTCATCATGAAGGCTTCGTACGAGTTCGTCATGTTCAATCTGTTGGTCGCATTTTCCTTGGGAAGCCGAGTTAATACATTACCCGGAAGCCCAAAGCAATCCCTTCATCAGGTAAAGCAAGCTGACCATCAAAACCATGCCCGAAAACTATAGTTGTCGGTTGGTAGAGGTCAACTTTTTTAATTCAGTACTTTTGCTTTCGAAGCTGACGTCCAACCACGTAAGGTCCAACACAGCACGAAAATGGAAATTTAAGTGAGCGAAATGGTAGCGTAATTTTGGAGCATAATTCTCATTTACGTGACTGCAAATGCGCTTTAACTGAGTAAAGATTTGAGCCAGAGTAATCATGGAAGCCAAAAGATGGTTTAAAAGTCTCATGTATACAACTTTACAATTCTTTTACGCGTTAAGCAGACATGGAACGGAGTAGTATAGTTTAAGAGAAGTAGGACTACTTTACGTACAGCCTATGCTTATTTACCAACAGTTTTTCCTATGCTCTATCTCAGCTTTCACATTTCAAATTTCCTTTAAAGGTCCCTGGTATTTTAGCTCCAAAACTGGAACTTCTGATTGCATTCGTCATAGTGCCGCCCCGAAATTAAGCTACTTTACAGGTGTTTTATCCACAAAATATTCAATGTACAGGGAAATCGTTTGTTCACACCCTCCCGTAGACTGCAAAACAGTCGGTATGAACTACAGGGAAACCGTTTGTTCCACGCCAAGCGTCTCTCCCCACCTTCCAGCCTCGTTCCACACCTTTTGTTTGACTGCTCAGCCAAAAACACGGAGTCTAACCCTCCCGGGACCAACTTGTTATCCTCGCATACAGAGGAGAGGACATGAGGTTACTGGTAAATGACAAACATCAAACTGAAAGGAAAACCTAAGGGGAACTCGCGGATACCTTGGTTCGAAAATAGAGGAGTCTGGCAATAACAGAAAATATCATTGTAAGATCAAGTAATATGTACACAAGAAAAATTCTGGATGCCGTAAAGTGAGCTTTCTCTAATAAAGACATGCGATTTTGACATAACTTTTCACACTGAAGCTGTGTTTGAAAAATTCGCGCGCTGCTTTTGCATTGTGGAAACACAATAAAAAAAAAAGTCATCAAAATTGCATAACTTCAAAACACCTGGTATTTTTTGATTTCATCTTATGGTAATTCCGTTTTAACATTTGAGTGCTAAATCTTACATCAAGTGGATTCCCGACAATTGCAACTGTCTCTGAACCATATCTGTAAAAGTTAAAACTTTGCCACTGTTTTTCGGGCGGCGGGTACTCTCAGCTTCAGGGCCAAGCAAATACGAATAGTGCATACACGTAATTTCTCGTCGCTGAATCCACGCCCAAAGCTCACTTCGACCGCAACGAACTACGCAAACACAAAAACATTTGACCTTAACGTATATACGCGAACGTATTGTAAAGAAAAAGGTTTAAGCTCTGCGAAAGGCTCGTGTAAGTGAGCTTTAATTTGGGATTTGAACCAGTTGATTGTAGATCATTGTACAACGTGAAAATGCCTTGAGCTCAACGGAGTAAGTTCGGTGTCTGAATCAACTGTCGAACCGTTATATCATTCGGGTCGACCTAAATAGGTATTAAGTTCGGTACATGAAAAGTTCATGAAAGTTCGACGTTCGAACTGGGCCTAACAAAGATCAATAGCATTTGTATGCAGAAAATAGTTGTTTACAGGTGTTTGACAAGTCCAACAACAAAAGAAATCGTAATTAAGCCGTTTTCAGCTGGCAATGTAAATTCCTTTATAAGAATCCAAATCGCTTGTTCAAATTAAGAGGCAAAATTTTACTTAGTGTCGAAAAAAATTACGGTTAATTCAAAAGGTGTCAGGACGCTTGGCCCGAAGCTAAGATTTTTAAAATTAGTTAGAGGAAAATGATTATCAGATTCAGGATTCGCTGTACAGGGGGATGTGGAAGTGCGAACGGGTATCACTTAGCCTTAAACAATCGAGATTCGTTAGGAAAATTGGCTATTTTTCTTTTTCACAGCTGAAAACACCTACCACGGAAAGTTTGAATTTCGTTTGTAGCAATGAACAAGTTTTGTGTAGGTATAAGAAACGATCTTTACTAAATGTTGCTCTACTATTTTGCAAACTTAATTGCAAAATACTCACTAAGAACTCAGTCGTGTCGTTACTGAGAACTACTGTTTGGTGCGAATAAATATTTTTGCTTCAGTACAACTAGAAATGAATACAACAGAGCAAAACTGCTGACAGTTCATTTTATTAACACGGAACAAGTTTCGGAGTTTTACAAATAAGCAAAAATATACCCCGACTTAGCAAAGGTGATGCGTCAGCTCTTGTGTGTACTTATGTTTACAATGTAATTGTTGTGACAAAGAACCACGAAAAAATGCAACTTGTAACACTAAAAATCGTAGATCTTGAGTTCTACGCAGTTCTCGCAAATTTTGTAAGCGAGAGAAAGAACAGCGAAAAATCACCAACAGTGCAAAGATTAAAAAATCTTTCAATGAACAGGAAAGATCGCCAACTTTGCAATTTTTGCGATTTTCTGAACAGACAGGAAAAATGGCAAATTTAGCAGCCGCGAAAACAAAAAATCGCTAATTTGCAGCTGCGCACATGAGTGTCACCTCAAAACTTTAAACTGAAAATCTCAAATTTTGCAGCTGCGCGCGTGAGTGTAACCTCAATGATACGAAAACAATGCCTCAAAAGAATGCAGTATCGAATTTAAACTCTTGAGGCAAAGAACCAGAAACCAGAGATCTGTGGTCGTATAGAGTGCCTGACCGATTATTGCACTGACGAGTAACTTGTCCAAAAAATTGGTCATGAACATGAAAGCGTCGTGCGAGTTCGTCTTGTTGAGTGTGCTGTTCGCATTCTCCTGGGGAAAAGACATCCAGAAAACTCGACTACAGCCGGGAATCCCGAAGCAATCTGTTCGCATAGAATCTATAGATGTACCACCCGCTGAACCGCCTGCTTTACAGGTAAAGATGGTTATCGAACCCGGGGGGTTCTCCCTACAATGGCCTATACAGGGAGGCTCCGCCCGGAAGGGGTGCTTTTTTCCGCTTTCTGGTATACTATTAAAAGTGTAGGGGTTTCACTTGTTGAAGTATTTTAAAGGTTAGGGAAATCTGTCTTTTCGGTTTTTTAAAAGTCCCAAAAGGGCTAACAGGTCAGTAGATTGTTGAAAAAAATTTCTGTTTTTGTGATTAATTCATACTTCAATTACATCAGATGCATTTTTTTCTAAAACAAAAAATGTATTTTGTTCTTTCGTTTACTCGTTCATCGCCTTGCCGTAAGGGTCAAAGGATCAGTTTGCCGTTTTATAGTTTGAACAAGATAGTTGTTATTGAACTGATCCACCTCCACAACTGTGAGATCCGGCACCACTCAACGGTTTGTCGCTGAGGACAGAAAAATATGGTCGCTGGCTGAAATGAACGCAGGGAACATACGAAATGTCGCGTCATACTTTCGCGTATTTTGTATACATACAGATTGCATCAACGGCAGCAAGGTTTCTCGAGGACGAACTTGTGGTTACCGGACGCTATACTGCTTTTTCTAGCAATGAGAAAATGGTGGCAATTCTCCACAGAGAACTAGAGCATAAAGTTGAAAAAGTTAAGCACATGAAGTTGGAGGTCTTGCGGCTGAAGACCAAAAACAATATGAATTTCCAGCCTGAATAAACCATAACTGATAAGTACATGTTAATTGTTTGTGATTGAATAAGGATGGAGGGGAGGGGGGGGGGGGCTTATTAACTTTCCTCCTCTGAAAAGGGGGGGGGGGCTTATTAGAGAGGGGGGCGTAATAGAGAACTTTCGGTATGTTCAACGGATAGCGCTTTGTGTCGACACGATATGCTATCCTGTCAGGGTACATGTTAATTGTTTGTGATTGAATAGGGATGGAGGGAGGGGGGGGGGCTTATTAACTTTCCTCCTTTTAAAGGGGGCTTATTAGAGAGGGGGGGCGTAATAGAGAATTTTCGTTATGTTCAACGGATAGCGCTTTGTGTCGACACAATATGCTATCCTGTCAGGATAAGTACATGTTAATTGTTTGTGATTGAATAGGGATGGAACAACTTAAAATAATAGAGAATTTTCGGTTTGTTCAACGGATAGCGCTTTGTGTCGACACGATATGCTATCCTGTCAGGATGTGAACAACTATCTGACATGTGACTCCCCACTTTAGAGACAGGCGCGGAGCAGCTTCGCTCCGTTACAGAAATCGCGCCGATGTAGCCGTTCTTATATATGTGTGAATAGAAGCCCTATACGGCATGGTCTTCGTGCCGACGCAAAAGGTTTCCGATATAGTGTGAACAGAACTCCAATCTTATTTTTAATCCCCTCTTAGGTTAACTCGAAGAAGAATTTCGATTCACAGAGGTTTATCTCAGAAGGTATGTTTTATTAAATATTTCCTTATAAATTTAGACCCTGTTTACGTGGAGTGGGGGACCCCGGTCTAGTGGGGTACGTTTCTTTTGTTTTGTGTCCCCCAGATCAGGGTATAGAACTTCACTATGTAGCATCTTGAACATATTATGTACTGTCTGTTTGGACCAGACGCCTTGACAAGAGGATGAATTTTTACGTTTTTAAACAGAAAAAAAATTTTTTCCATGATGTATGCGAGATGAAATCAATAAGGGCTGGAGCTAATAACCCGGAGCGTGTATTGCCAACTGCTATACTTTAGCCTATGTAACGGCGCTTACACAGATCAAGTTATTTTAGCATCATTTTGGAGCACTTTTCCCGCGAAAATGCAAGCACCGAGCCGTCTCCCGATCAGGGTCTTAAAATAAGGTATCTTGTCTAAAAGAGTGTAGCGAAACTGAACGATTGTTGCCATCAAAAGGATCAGGGTTTGATGGCCTCGGCGGCACATCTCTACCTAAAACTTCCCTTTTATGCGCAACCCTTAGCCCCCACCTCCCCTCCCTTGTAAGGTCGTTTTTATAGGAAGAGTGAATATCTACCTAAGTAACAATTAGCAAAAAATTCTTGCAAACACCAGTTGGACAAACAGTAGCGAGGGAAAGCCGGATCTGGTTGAAGATCAGAATCAGCAATATAAAATAACGCTTAAAATTGATGGCAAGGCTGATCGGACAGTTAAGGGTTGGTAACTTACAGATTTATTTGCCCAGTATTTCGACTAGACAAAGCTAGTCCTCATCAGAGGCTAGAAAAGCTAAGTGAGTATAGAATAAAAGGTTACAGTATTTAAATTTTGTCCTCTGATCCCGTGAGGAATTTTTAAAATTAGATCTAGAGTTGATTTACTATTGCTTTCATGTTATCATGATGCCAATAGCTAACAGCGTAGTTCCACCGCACCACCGGATATATAAAGCACACTCAGCCCTCACAATCGCTTGATTGACCAATCAAAAAGTCTTTATTGACAAAATCACAGCCCAAGCCAGGCCTTGTTCGCAGCCAGTTTCCCTAAGCTCGAATTAGAAAAGAGAGGTACTGGTAAGGAGCTTGTTTTCTTTTTACTTGATAAAGGCGAAAACTGAACTCAAATTTCAATGCATACTGTGTAGGAAAAGCCAAATAAATAGGCTAACCTTTCTTTACACTTCCGCTAGCCCCTTCCCACGCCCTTAGCGCTTTGGGTTGCCTTATCCGATTCTCGCGTTGTTCCAGTCCAGACCTTCCAGATCTTGTTTAGAAGCCAGTTATGCTGTAAAGTGACTACAAATGTCTCATGTTGTTTCTCTCTCAGATGCAAGTTGTGTTGACAAATCGCCTTACTGTGGCAACTGGGCGCTCAGAGGCGAATGCAAAAAGAACCCACGTTACATGGAAGGAAACTGCTGTGTTTGGTGCAACCATATAATAAGTATGTAATCGGAAAATGGAACGTGTCTTCTTATAAACGTTGAATCTTTCCAGTTGTAACGACTAGGTTCTATGCAATCTTGTAAACAGCGGGTTCTTTGTGACGCAACGCAACGTTCCTCCCCACAAGCGATATTCTTTTTTGTGAGATTCTGAAATTTAATAATAATAATAATATAATTTGGAAGTTGTGAGTCAAGATGACCCAGGATTTAACAAGAGATCAAAATGAACAGATTCCTTCTCCGCTGTTTGTTTCTTCTTATGGATAGATGTGAGGGAGAAGAAGAATGAAACATTTTGCCTTCTACTACCACCTTCTCCTTTCCCACACCTTTCCTTTGTGTAACTCTTTTTGCGGTAACCTAATAATAACAACTAAAAAAAAAATCAGTCTACCGCAGACAAATCTTCATCTGGGACTCTAGAGGTTTTCTTCTTTAGTGTAAAAAATTGACTGAAATGCATCCCCCGAACGTGGGATTTTTAGCAACAGCTGTCTACGAGGGTTACTATGTGTTAAACACGGTTGTCGTTTGTTTCATTCTCTTTTGTGTGGACATCTTTGTTCTGCAAACATCGGAAAAACAACGATTTCTCTCTGGTCAATAGAGATCGAGGAGAAGTGTGACGTCACGTAACCATGGTTGCAAAATTTCTGGACATCTGTTAGCCGTCGTTGCACGTCGAGTGCACATGAAACTTCCTAATTTCACGCGCCCTCTTTGTGGAGCACGTGAACACAACACAGAATTATCTTTTTCTAAACGGTCATTTTCGATTCAACTCCAGAAAGTCACCAGAAAAGTTCGTCAACATTCTACCAACTCAATTGAAATGAATAAGATCGATGAAGTCTAAAACAGTTTGAATACACTTTTCAAGTGATGTTTCCAGTTTGTTGTCATCCAGAAATTTCGCTACCGTGGCAACGTGACGTAACGACTTCTCCTGTCCATTAAAGGTTCAACAGCTAGTGCTATTTCGAGAAAGGTTGTCGGAAAAAGTGCACGCGACAATCCCGAAAAGTTTTGTGAGTGGTTTTGTGTTCATATTTTTTCAAAGAAATCTGAAAGAACATCCACGGTATATTGCGAGTGCTAAAGAAAAGCAACAAAAGTAGGTTTGACAGCTACAGTTTCAAGAAACAATGTATTGATTATTATTACATTCAATATTACCTTTCGGGATTGTCGCTTGCACATTTTCCCGACGACTTTTCACGAAACAGCTGTATACTTTTACTAACATGGATCATTGTCACCATAGCTTTACAGAACATTAAAGCAAACTCTTGCAGCGACGATAACTCTCATTGTGTTCATTGGGCAAATGGAAACGAGTGCTGCAAAAACCCCGCCTATATGCTGGAAAATTGCTGTTCGGCCTGCAAGGCTAAAGGTAAGCGAGTGATCATTATCATTGGCTCAAGCTTTTGTAAACCCTATTTAGACGGGGGCGGGGGTTGGTTGAAGAGCGCCAAACTTGAGGACTCTTTCTAAAACTTACCTGGGAACATTTTAAAGTCGTCGTCACGTGTATGTCAACAATAACGTTACCATGGCAACCGAGTTTTGACAGCCATGTTTTTCGAAATTTGCATTTTTTGTACAAAAAGGTTATATTTCTATTTTTTCTTATTGAGTCATTACATTACACTCAATTTAGCATTATTTTATCAAAGTGAGTGTTCAGCGGCGCGTGGAACTCGCATGAAGGTAGAGGCCACCGAGGATTGAGCCCCGTATTGCCCACTAGCTGGATTTTTCACGGTAGCACCCAGTCTCAATCCGCAGCCAGCCCAGTTGCCATGGTACCCAAATTTCGTGATCACAACAATAGGGAGTCCAATCAACGACGACGGCGACGGCAACGAGAACGACAAAAAAGCAATAGCTTTAGCACGTGCATCACGCCTTTTTGTACATTTCTTAGCCGTTGCTGCACGACCGCGACATGAAACTTCTCAATTTCACTCGCCTGCTTTATGGAGTAGGTGAAGTAAGTACGAGCCTTTTGGATTCAACCCCAGAAAATTTCGCCAACATTTGACAAAATAAATGAAATTGAATAAGATCGATGAAGTCTGAAACAGTGCGATTTCATTTTTTGAGTGACGTTTTCGGTTTGTTGTCATCCAGAAATTTTGCTACCATGGTAACGTGACGTAACGACTTCTCCTCTTTTATGTATTTGTTAAGGAATATTTGAGGAGAGTGCATCTGCACTAATTTGACAGGTAAAGTAAGTAAATCAGCGCGGTGGCGAGTCGTTTTAGTAGATTAAATCATAAGTATATTTGAATTTTTCAATGTATTTTTTTATCCAAACACGCACACAACTTTGTTGATAGAGTGTATGATTTAGTTTTGTAAGTTCCGGTAATTTTTAAAATTTCCTTTTCATTTTAATTCTGAAACAATATCTGTCTATTTTTCAGGCTACACGGCCCCATCCCCGTGATAGACCACCAAGGGACACTAGGACTGTCAAGGAGTATTCAAATGTCAACGTAGTTTGTCTAAAACTTAAGCATAAGCTGAAATGAACGATTAAAGTGAAATTAAGCGCGATCAGGTCGTGTCCGTGGTTTGTTGTTGGTCCTTTCTCTTGCTCCGAGAGGTTTTTCTTCCTGGTAGTCCAGCTTACCCCCCTCTCCTCATACTCCACTTCCATTCTCCACAATGCACCTTATTTGCCCCCAAAAATTCGCATAAGCAGTGTTTTCAATTTCTCTTTGGGCGGCTGTAATACCCAGAAGAAATGAAAAACAAAGGTTATGCAAAATTTGGGGGGGGGGGGGCAAATAAGGTGCATTATGGGAAATGTGGAAATGGAGTATAAACCAACACTTTTCCTTCCGGATTTCACAAGCAAAAATCTCCCGGATTCTAGAATCCGGCAGATTCTTATATTCCGAAGTACTTTAAATGGGGTATGTGTGAGATATATAGCGTGTCATTAGTTTCAAAATTAACTCTTTCCGTTGTCATTAAATTTTATCCTTTATTAATTTTAAATCCTGGATTTGGTTTACTAAATACAAAATGTAATCTTTCATCTCTCGGTAATGTCAGCAATGGTTTTATCATGTTCACTCGCAGTGCTAACACCGCTGCCTTAGGAAAAAAATAATTTGGTCTATCATTAGTACTTTAATACAACGATTTTATCGATTTAGTTTTTTCTCAGATATGCTTCTTCGACTACATTTATTTTTTATCCTTCCTATGTATGACTGCATAGGTAGTCCACAGACCTATGCCGCTTCTTCCTTTAATCTTCCACCTTCTCCAGCAATTGGCAGGGGCACCCAACGAGAATATAGTTCAAAACCACTTAAACATAGCATTGTTAAACGTATTTTAATATTAAAACGGTAGATATATGCATATTTTTATCCCCTAAAAATTTTTCATCTGTTCGGATTTCCTAGCTGAAAGTCTAGTGATTCGAAAATTATAGGGATCAAAACTTACTTTTTCGAAAAATTCAGCCAGAAAAAAGGCTCCCGAAAATTCTAGGTGACCTTTTTAGGGCAAAAATCCGTTAAAAATGAGCAATTATAGCATTTTTTAGATGTTCGAAAATCCTAGGAGAGGCAGACAAGCAAGAAATTTTACAACAAATGTTCCGAAAATTCTAGATCTCAAATCGTCTTCCGAACAGATATTTTTCGAAAATTGTCGTTTGGTGCTAGTCGTCTACACAGCCGCATTGCGTGACGACTGTAAAAACGGCTATGTAGCAGCGAGAATGATTTTCCAGTAATGTGCGAGATTGTTTTGGGCACGTGACTAGCTGTCAGGAGGCGGGGAGAGGGCGGGGCCTAGAAACAATGGAGACTAGTGGCTGCAGTAGAATTATGTGGGAAACAAGATGGAGGGTTATGTGTACATACTTGTTGTGCGTTTCGTTTTCGTTTGAAGGTTTTCCCTTAAATGGAAATTTCCGAGATAATAATGTAAACGTTTATACTTTGTACTGCCATCGGTTTGAACATGACGCTTGCCTCCTTTAATGCCGACAGCGTAAACGTTGCCACGTGGACCAGTGCGGGGCTGTTTATTTGAATCGGTTAAATCAACCCGGCTGGAAAGTTTCCAAAGAGACCATGGAGAGAGAGTACGGTTGGTTAGCGAATCAAGCAGTTGGAAATATTGGAGTGTTTTGTTTGACTGTGGCAGAAAAGGTGCAATGGGCGAGGAAGACCAATTTTGTATTTGGAATGCAAAATTGGAAAAACATCCTCTTTTGGCAAGACACACAATGGAAAAATGAGAGATCGTCATTTCCTTAGTGAGCGATATCGATAAGTGATTTTAGATTGATTAGTTTAATGTTTGTTGTTAAATTATGAAAAAATGTACTTACTTCTGCTACACACCAGCTCTGTATTTTACAGAGATGTATTGAAATAATGTACTCAGGCACAAAAAATCCCTACCATAACATCACTCTTGGTAAACAAAGTTGCTTGCCTTTCAGTCATTTTAGGGTTTTGTTTTTTGGAAAAGAAAAGCAGTTGGCCCCGGGGTTGGCAAATGCCTGGCCCCCGGGCAGCGTAAAATTTGCAAATGCCCTACCCCAGGGACTGACAGGGTGGGCACAGTGGTCTGGGCACAGCTGGAATTGACTGATGCATAAACCAGCACCATGGATATTTAATGTTCAAAATATAGCATCAATATTATACTATTATATGTGCTGAGATTGCACCATGGATATTCAATGTTCGAAAATATAGTAAAATCAAATATGTCGATTTTTATTTTTTTTATCAAACTGATAATATTAGAAGATTTCATACGGCTGATTTCATACAACGGACCGTGTGTTCGCCTCGGTTGTAGTTTCTTCCTGGCTACGGCCCTGTTATTGTTATTTCATATATTGTGTTATTGTATTATGTTGCATTATCTTATTGCTATTCTTCTCTCTTTTCAATAATTAAATTATTTATGATCATGAAAAATGCTAACAACTGAATACTTGGAACTTAGGTACATCCAAGACTGAATTCAATTCTGCTATCATACTGTGTCCATAGAGGGGTGTTTTTCTCAGTAGCTGATGTCAATTTTATATATACTTACATTGTACATTTCATTTGCCTTAGGTCACCTTAAATTGGCTAACATCACCTAAAGTTGCCTTAAATCGCGTAATGTTTTGAGCAAATTTTCCTAAAGTCACTAAAAAATGCCTTAAATCGCTTCAAGTCACCTTAAGTTACAGTGACTTAAGGTCCCAGAGTAGGCCAAATTATGTAAGATGTCTGATGTGTGATATATGTATGATGTCTGATGTTAGATGTCTGATGTCTGATGTTAAAAGTCAGTTGTCTGACGACAGATGTCAGACGTCTGATGTCCAATGTCTGCTGTCAGCTAGACATCTGATTTTCAATATGTGTGATGTCTGATGTCAGACGTCTGATGTTAGATGTCAGTTGTCTGATGACAGATATTGGACGTCCTATGTCTCCTGTCAGATGTCTGATTTCCAATACATGTCTGATGTCTGATATTGTATATCAGATGTCTGATGACAGATTACAGATGTTTACTAATAGATGTCACACATCTGATGTGTAAAATATGTGTGATGTCTGATGTCAGACGTCTCATGTCCGATGTCTGCTGTCAGACGTCTGATTTCCAATATATGTATGATGTCTGATGTCTGATGTCTGACATACGGGTATATCTGGTGTTTGATGTCAGACATCTTATGTCAGATGTCAGATGTCTGCTTTCAAGAAGTTCGGATGTCAAACGTCTGATGTGTCAAATATGTATGATGTGTGATGTCAGACGTCTGATGTTAGATGTCAGTTGGTAGATATATGTCTGACATCTGTTGTTAGATATTAGACGTCTGATGACAGAAGTCTACTAACAGATGTCAGACGCCTGGTGTCAAGAAGTCAGATGTCAGACGTCTGATGTGTAAAATATGTATGATGTCTGATGTCCGATGTCTGCTGTCAGATGTCTGATGTAAGCAGATGTCACTAGACGTCTGATGTCTGATATATATCTGGTGTCTGATGTCAGACGTCTGATGTAAGCAGGTGTCAGACGTCTGATTTCCGATATATGTATGGTGCCTGATATTATGTATCAGATGTCTGATGACACATTACAGATGTTTAATAATAGATGTCAGATGTCTGATGTGTAAAATATGTCAAGAGGTCAGATGTCAGACGTCTGATGTGTGATATATGTATGATGTCTGCTGTCAGCAGATGTCAGATGTCTGATTTCCGAAATACATCTGATGCCTGATACTATATATCAGACGTCTGATGACAGATTACAGATGTTTAATAATAGATGTCAGGCGTCTGATGTGTAAAATAGGTCAAATGTCTGATGTCAGATGTTAGATGTTGGACGTCTCATGTCCGATGTCTGCTGTCAGACGTCTGATTTCCAATATATGTATGATGTCTGCTGTCAGCAGATGTCAGACGTCTGATTTCCGATATGTCTGTTGTCTGATATTATATATCAGACGTCTGATGACAGATTATAGATGTTTAATAACAGATGCCAGACATCTGATGTGTAAAATATGTATGATGTCTGATATTAGATGTCGGAAGTCTCCTGTCCGATGTCTGCTGTCAGACATCTGATTTCCAATATGTATGATGTCTGATATTTAATGTTCAAAGTATAAGATAGCATGTTATTATCTAGACACGAGTGTTTTACTGGAAAATATACCACTCGTAAAATTCATAAAAACTACATCCGGGACCAGAGTGGTATATTTTCCATAATCTCACACGTGAGTTTATCTATGACGTAACTTCGGTAATTTCCCTCTATTATTTTATCGATGTCTTTTTGTCTATATAATAAAAAGAACATTACACAGCGGCTTGAAGATATTAATTTTATTTTCTCGTGGCAAAAACAATATTTTACTCACTCGCTGCGCTCGTTCGGAAAATATTGTTTTGCCATTCGAAAATAAAATTCATATCTTCGCGCCACCGTGTAATATCCTCTATATAATTATACTATTATATGTATTGAGATTGTTATTGTTACTATTATTGTTATTCTTATTTCAGATAATGTGTTATTGTATTATGTTGCATTACCTTGTTGCTGTTCTTCTCTCTTTTTAATTATTGTTATTTATAAGCGTGAAAAATGCTGACAACTTAACACTTGGAACTTAGGTACATCCAAGACTGAATTCAATTCTGCTATGATATTGTGTCCATAGAGAGGTGTTTTTCTCAGTAGCTGATGTCAATTTTATATATACTTACATTGTACATTAATTTGCGTTAGGTCACCTTAAATCACGTAAAGTTGCATGAAGTTGCCTTAAATCGCATATCAGTTTCAGCAAATTTTCCTAAAGTCGCTTAAAGTTGCCTTAAATGGCTTCAAGTCGCCTTTAGTTACAGCGACTTAAGGTCCTAGAGTATGCCAAATGATGTCAGACGTCTGATGTGTGTATATGTATGATGTCTGATGTGCTTTCTGAGGAAGTCCTTTGATCTTCTTGGTTAAATCGAGGAAAATGATAACAGGAATTAAGCGATGGTAATCATACGTCCTTTGAGTACTGAAATGATGTGCTCATTACTTAAAGCTTGTTTCTTGCGTCCATGGTCTTGGGGCAGGGGAGGGGAGGGAAGGGGAGGTGTGGTCTACACCCTTTCCCTTTTGTAAACTGATTGAAAAATAATTAAATATAGGCACTTGATATATAAAAACATGTGTAACACCGATAATCTTTGGCATCTTTTGCATTCACAGAGTGTAAAAATAAAAAATAAATAAAATGAATAAACTCTAAAAACGGTAACCCAAACCTTACTCAATCTTCACTCACTACCTCAAACTCAACTCTGACTCACCTCAGACTCGTAACTCGATCATTATCCTATCTCCACCACAACACAATAGGCTGATTTAGCAACAGAACGGAAACGTCATATTACGACGGCGCGCGCAAATCAAACAACTGGCTTGACCAATGGCACAGCGGCAAATTGGGCACCGGAAGTCGAGTTTAGTCCTTTCCGCACGCTTTCCCATCGTCAAATGACGTTCCCGTTCTGTTGCTAAATCAGCCTAATATAGCTAACCCGTACAATAGTTTCCACAACACCAAGAAACATCCAAACAAATTGTAGTGTTAAAAGTGTAAGAGGCAACATGAACATTTTATAAAATATAGTAAAAATACTTGCATTTGTTAGGTGTGATGTGCGCTTGACTTAAAATCTGAACCTGGCCAAATGGAGTCGGGAGTCTTATTCACTTTGCCCTATAGAGAACATAGCTAATTTTATTTGTTGTTACACTGAAATGCAACCGACTGGGTTTACTTTTCGGTTTTTCGTTGAGATGCAAAAGGCCACTGCAAAAATACCATAATATTCTCAAGTAGTGGTTCATGTAAACCATGCTTTTGCAATTTTCTCTTGTGCATGATTTGCACGGGTTTACCTTGGTGTAAAAACCTGTGAAGTTTTTCTTTGTTTTCTAGCTATTATTTTACTTGGCTCTATTGTGTTGACTTCTCAGTGGCTTCTTTGTATTCATTGTTTTACGTCAGTTGTGAGTTTCACAGGCTTTTGCATAGCCTCCCACGCAGGCGTTTTTAGGGGAGCTCGTATTTCTTCCCTCCCCACAAACGCCTGCTCAACGGAAAACAACATTCCTTTCTCATTGTTTTATTTGCGTGGTAAGTGACCAATCAACAATTGTGCAATTAAGTGTTGACAGGCTAAACACGACTGAACGTGACCTTAGAGTTACCGTTTTCCTTCTTTTCTTTCCTTCGCTAAGGTTATGCAGTGCACGGAGTATTCTGCATTTTGACTAATTCTTATTTTGCCGCTCTGAATCTAACATTTATTGCAGGTCAGAAAGCTTTCCCAGTGTTTAATGCAGATCGAGTAATTATCAGATTACCTTGCGGTCAAGGTCAACTTTCCAGAATTTGGAAAGTACAATGTGATTGGCTAAGCTTGGGAAAGGAATGTTATCTTCAGTTGAGCAGTCGTTTGTGGGGAGGGAAGAAAAACGAGCTCCTCTAAAAACGCCTGCATGGGAGGCTAGTTTTTACACCGAGGATGAGCCATTTGCACGTGCAATGCGTCAGTTTGTCTAAAATGTGCATACTCAGCGTATTTGGGTGCAATCGCAGTTGTGCTAACAACTCCTGAACGTATATATAGAAAAAAAAAAACACCAACAAGAGAAGTGAGTTGGAAGGACTCTTTAACTGGAACAATTACGCATTGTGGATAACTGTGGCCATTGCGCGTGCAGTTCGTGCAAAAAGACAACGGAACGTTAGGTTTACACGAGGCTCCACTCAAACGGCAACTTGAGATTATTATATATTTTTATATATGGTACTTTCGAAGTGGCCTTTGCTGAATTAGGAATTATGAGTTCATTGAAGCTTTTAGATGAGAAGCCGTGCACTACTGTACTCTAAACATGCCTGGAAGCTGAAAATCGTTGTAGTGATGAAGAGGGAAGAAGCTACATACATACATACATATTTTATTTATTTATAAATGGTATATCAACTATTTCCAAATAACTAAAATTACAAACAACAAATCTTTACTTTTTGCCGTCTTCCCCTTTCCATTTTACAAAGCATTCGAATATATGTTTTGCTATTAGTTTTTGTATTTTAGCATTTCCGCTAGGGGGGTTTATTAGAAACATGAATATTTTGTTAGAAGCTATCAGGTCTATGGATTCCTGAGAAGCGGGGTGGTGGGGGGGGGGTACTTTCTATGATGGCCTATTGGGGGAGGCTCCGATAGGCTTTGATAGATTGTGCTAGCATATTTGTTGGCGTAATTCGTCATCACGAGGATAATTTTCACCTATTTTCCTAAAGCACTACTAGCATAATATGCACTTTTCTTACGTTTTGCAGCACAAAATTGTTATTTATCAATCATGCAACCAATTGTTTTGGCCCGAGAGCAGTGTTACAGGCAAATTTAAGTAACAAAATCAATTTGTTGTCTGCTTATCAGTTGTCTCATTCCCACAGGAAGTGACACAGGACCTTTCAATGCCACAAGATTCAACGCATGCGCATAACTAGCTCGGTTATCAGAGATGGCGTCCGCGTGCTGCATTTATTGTTTGAGATTTGTCAGACAATGCACTCGTAAACTTTCTAGATGTAAACAGGGTAAATGTGTTTTTTGCATCAACTTGTTTATTAGGTACTTGTTGAGGTGTTTTTACCTGGCTTAAAGTAAAAAGTAGAAGCATAATTTCTGCATTTTTTGCCAAAATAAGCATAATTAACAAAAACTAGCACCAATATTGGCAAAATTTTAGTAATACACGAGCACTGCTAGCAGCATATTATGGTACTTTTTCGAGCACAATCCATCAAAGCCAAAGCTCCGCCCGAAAGGGGTACCTTTTTCAGGCTTCATGTATATGCGAGGGTTCGAATTTCACTAGTTGAAGCAAATGAAACGGTTAGGAAATACGTCATTTCGTTCTGTAAAAAGGCCCAAAAGTCGAGACACAAGTTCTTGCTATGTGGTTTATTCATATTTAAAAGACAGTGCATTTACATCAGTTAAAGGAATGTAAGTTCTAACCTAGGTATGTAAAACGGGTGCCATTTATCAATAGATGGGTGCCTTTTCTGTCATAAAGGGTATATTTCAGAGTCAGGGGTTGGACTTCGGGGCGGAGCCTCCCCGCATACTAAAAACTTTGTTGAGTACCCTCGGGTATGGATTGTAGACTTTGTAACCACACGTACCTTACCGATTAACTAAGATCACGATCTGTTTTCGTTTCGCCTCGGTAAGTATAATCTTCAATGGGTAAGACTTTGCAGAGCGGGGAGCCTATTTCTCCTTGTTTATGCATTGTCAGCACTATTTTAATTAAATTGTTACTTAAATATTAAACTACTATCTTTTCAAGACTGCAAAACATCAATTTCCCTGAAAAAAATCCATTCACTTTGACCTCCAGTGACCAGAATTCTTAGACAATGTAGTTTTCTACTTTGGCTCAAAGATATTTTCAGCCTACCATCTTTGAAGTGGCCGATTGTTTCGAAGTCTTGGCACTGTGGATCTTTGTTTGCTTCATCAGGCATCTTTTCATTTTGAAAACTTGCCTGCAAAACGCCCGATCTTAGTATATCTTTGGGGGCGTTTAAGGAACCCGTGTCTACAAATACTTCACGGACGGTGGTTACAGAAGTAAACTTGATAAGAATGAAGTCATCTCTCTTCGGCTGCTTGGCCCAAAAATAGCCCGTGCCCTTGGTGTAGGCACTTTGGGGTTGTGATCCATCACTAGACACAAAAGAGCTGCTAATCGTTGCTTGAGGATTCAAGCCCCTGTACTTGACATCATATGGGTCAAAAAATTGCTCCTTTGACTTATAAGAATTTATGTTCTCTTTAAAGGAGGAGTTATCTCCGATATGCTGGAAAAACGACGCGTGGGGTAGTACAAAGGCTTTGAAGTATTTCCCATCGTATTTGATTCCTCGCCAGTATGCTATTAACCAGTCTCCAGGCATTTCGTCGTACATGAGGAAGAAAAAAGAGGCGAGGTTTTCAAGGTCAGTCGAATGATAAATCTTAGCTGTGTGACCCATAAATGCAGCGTCTAAAATTGGCCACGGATTCTTCTGCGAGGCGATGAAATCTTGTAGTTTTGGATAAAAACTTGGCGCTGGAATCAAGTCGTCTTCTAAATGAAGATAATAAGGTGAAAAGTCTTTACAATAGCACATTAAGAAAGAAAAGTCTATCACCAGTTTCGAACGCCACATTATTCGATCCTGTGAGTCGTCGAATTTCGTTTTCATATTTGAAAGGGCTGGATAATATTCTCGCGGAGCAGCAATCACATGAAGTAAACTGTCATCAGTGAATGTCTTGAAGAGAGTCAAAAATTCTTTCAATGTACCATTTTTTAGTGCTTCATCAAAGTCTGCCAAGAATATTACCAGGTAAACCTCTTTCCTGTCTTTCTCGCTAAGATTTTCAATTAAAAGTTTTACAGTTCTGGGGAGGTAATTTGCTTTGAATGGACGAGTGATTGACGAGATTCCAATGGTTAAGTGTCCTAGAAGAAAAACAAATAAAACGACGTTAAAGATCATGAAGATGATGCTGTTGTTGCTATTGATGATGATGATTGTGATAAAGTGATTGGAAGGATAATGGAGAGGGTAATGATGACAATGTGACAGGAAGGATAACGATGATGATGATGATGATGATGATGATGGTAATAATAATAATGACGACGATGATGATGACTATCTTGCCGAGAGATTGACAAAGACGATAATAATGATAACGAAGATAATGACGATCATTAGCGATGATGGTGACGATGGTGATGTTGATGGTGAAAATAAAGATGATTATGGTGCTGTCGACGACAATGCTGACGATGATGATGATGATGATGATGATGATGGTATGGTGATGACAATGGTAAAAAATTATTTTATTGGATTAAGGATGGGTGGATGGATCGAAGGATGCACGAGTCAAGTTGAAATATAGTCACGAACTAACCTTCAAAGTACCCGAACCGACACTGACCAATAACGCATATAATTTATTATTTGATTGTTCGTTTTTTGAAACTTGCTGCATATAAAGAACTTAGACTTGTTACAAGTCGACCTCTTGGCGAGCGGAGCGAGCCTTTTTTGGCAGCAAAGCGGCCGACCGCGAGCGACGAAGTCGCGAGAGGTCGACTTGTCTCGCTTGAAGGGTTCCCATTTGCATTTCGCGCCAAAAATGGGGAGTGGCGTGACTCGCATTTGGTGTTTCAGGTTTCATTTGCGAGTCTTTGACTTCAATGGCGGAATGTGCTGATTCCACTGCGAGTAAATCTATTGAACGTGTGTGTGTATCTCATCGAAGGAGCAAATTTGTTTACTTTGTGCGAAAGTTATCTCTAACAATGATTTAGGCGAAAGTTGACTCGAAGACCTCAGGCGGCCGGAAAAAAACAAAAACTTGTTTCAATCTCGATTCTATATACTGGGAAAGGAGATTTCACAACCAAGGAATCCTTGACATCCGCAAACATTTTAAACCTACATAAACTTTTCAATACACGCATTTCTCTTCCTGTAACCCTCACGGGGTCAGAAAAGGTCTCATAAAGGGCTAAACCCTAAGACTTCTGAGAACTAACTCCTCAGCTAAATCCTTCTATGAGAACATCTACAACTTCAAAAAACGCCTTCCCGCTAGAGGTTACCCTTACAATCTCATAGAAAAAAGCCACCTCTGAGGTTAAATTTACCAAACGGAAGTCAGCTTTACAAAAGAACAATGAAGTGCAAAAGAAAATTCTGCCTTTCGTTACCACGTACCACTCTGCTTTGCAGAACCTTAACAACATTTTAATGAGCAAATGACACTTAATTCAAGATCAACCACTACTGAGAGAAATATACAACGAGCCAGACGAGCGGGATTTCATATAAAAGAGCAAAATCGCTGGGAGATATCCTCGTTAGAGCAAAACTATAAGGTCACGTATCACATTATCACGAGCTTATTAGTCGTGTTCACCTTCCACCTCGCAATCGACCCCATGTTGGAATTTGAACCGCAAGTTACGTTTCAATATGCTTAGTACTTGTGAGTGACAGCTTTATCCCCAAGGGTCCTTGGGAGCTAGCTCTGAGAGTATATATAATAGGAAACATTAGCACGCTTTGTGCCATTCACTTCACTGTGTCCGACAAGAGGGGCGTTTGGCGACCCACCCGCCCTCCCGAGCGAGTAAGTCGGATTCCAGCTTACCTACATTCAATTCAGTCTGTCTTGGGCTTGTCCCAGGTCAGATTGATTCCCCATACCTTGTTATAATGTCATGAATAACAATACCCAGGGATTAATATTATACAATTGACCGCTCCAGAAAATACCATAACATACCATAATGCTCTTTGTTTGTCACCCCAAAATTTTGCATAACCATTGTTTTCAGTTTCTCTTGGGGCCATTTTAATTCCCAAGAGAAACTGGGGGATATAAAGTATTTGATTCTCATGCTAGAGATAGGTATCATAGCAGTCATAGTGAAGGGACGTGTATTGTTGGAAATACCATCCATGCATAAATTAGGTCAATATTTTCAGACTCTACATAGAAATGAGGATATACATATATGAACTTAAAGGCGTACATATTGCCACCTTTGAAGTTCATCTTTTCTCAAGCAATGTTTTCTCAAGCAATTGTAGCATATCAAATGTTAATAGTTACCAATGTTCCTGTAAACTATGTGGACAGTCGAACCTGCAAGCTATGCATTGTGAAAAATAAATTGAAAACTGAAGTGAGAATAATATTGTCAAATTTTTGCATAAGCATTGGCTTCAGTTTCTCTTGGGAATTAAATGGCCCCAAGAGAAACTGAAAACAATGCTTATGCAAAATTTTGGGGTGATAAACAAAGAGCATTATGGTATGATATGGTATTTTCTGGAGTTATCAATTAACAATTAAATGAATTAATCGTTCACACTTTTTATTGTACAGTCACTTCCAAAATTCCCAATTGACAATATTATTCTCACTTCAGTTTTCAATTTATTTTTCACAATGCCGGTAGCTTGCAGGTTCGACTGTCCACATAGCATAATTCGCCTATAACCCATATTTAAGCTATACGTGCGCAGTTAGACTGAAGATCAATGTTCATAAACAACCAAACCACTTTGTGTTATCGCTTTTTCCTAAAAGGTTTTTGTCCATTTGTGCGTTTAAAGGTGTTATGAGCAAGAGATCGAGAACGCACATCCACTTCGCACAAGAGCAAAGTTTATTCTCAAAGAACTCGACACGTGTTGGTACAAATCACGTGATCTTGTTACAAAGTTCAACCAATCATAACATCCCCTTCCTAAGCTAGCAGTTCTCTTTACAAATCATATTACTAATAATAAGTGGGGCTAGAATACGGAGTGAATAGTAACTCGACTGTGAATAAACCTTAAGTTATAAATCTGCTAGTACATGATATAGTCTTTATGCCAAACTGGAATGCACTTAGCCCGTGTAGAGCCACGCAGACCTGAAGACTGATTGTTGTCGGTAGTTGTCATTTCCAACTCAGCATAAGACTCTGCACTGGGCAAGTTTACATCACATTGGTCAGTTACAGAATCTGAGTCATCATTTAGGTATTCGCTTAGAGTAGTAGGTGATTCCTGAGTAAGATGAATTTGACGTCTATTTCTACGGTACTCTTTACCCGTCTCATCAGTAATCACATAAGATCTGGGAGCCTCATGTTCACCCTTAACTACAGTAGGTGCTAAGTGTTTGTCACCTGGTTTCCTGAACTTTACACTATCCCCTTCCTTAAGTGGGGGTAACTGTTTGGCACCTCGATCATAGAATTCCTTGTTCTTAGCTTGACACCTTTCAACAGAGATTCCAACCCTCCCGATTTGATCGGGAGTCTCCCGATTTGATGTCTTGCCTCCCGCTCTCCCGATTTTTACCAAATTCTCCCGATTTATTATAAAATTCTGAAAACTAGGAAAAAATTGCTAATCTTTAGAATTTTTGGCGATCTGTCACTGTGAAACACTCATATTATACTTACTTTCTTCGTGAAAAGCATTATGGTATGTTATAACTCAGGCCGGAATGATGTCAAAATTCAGGAAATGGAACTTGAGAGAACCTAAATTTGCAAAATTTCCCGGGGGAGCATGCCCCCAGTCCCCCCTAGAAGCTCGCGCCTTCGGCGCTAATAATTACTCCCTATTTTCCATCACATGGGGTTGGAATCTCTGCTTTCAAGTAATCAGTGAACATCCTTACAGACTTGTGGCACTAACATTATGCGGTGGACTGGAACCTGTGTACGAACTTGCCGGCTGAACAACATTTGGTTGGGTGAGTAAGGAAAATTACTTATTGGCGTATTGCAATACTCCATGAGACCATCAATTAGGTTGCCTCCTTTTCCTAACATGTTTTTGACAATGTGTACAGCCTTTTCTGCAAGGCCATTTGACTGGCTATAAGTGGGAATGATTGTTGTGATTTTCATGCCACACCTATAAGCATACTGATAATAACATTTTGACTTGCTTCACCCTTGAGTTGGAGTGCCTCAATGTACTTTGAATAATAATCGATGACCACAAGATAGTTTTGATTTTTGTGCTCTAAAATATTTGAACCAACTGTCTGCCAGGGTAATAAAGGGACATCGTGAGTTTGCATGGGTTCTTTGGGTTGTTTGCTCTGGTATTTCATGCATTTTTCACAGCTAGAAACTATCTCTTCAATATCTTCATAGTCATGCCTGGCCAAAATACTGTCATTCTTGCACTGGCTTTGCTTTTTTCAATCCGACAGTGACTCAGATGTAATTTTTGGAGAATATCTGTTTTCCATGGGGATGGGATAACAAGCCTATTATCCTTGAGTAAAATTCCATCTGTGACATGAATATCATTTCGTACATCCCGAAAGGACTTTAGAGATGGGGGTGTACATCACACTTATGAGCAGGCCAACCCTGTAAAGAGTATTGGTATAACATCTGCATGGTTGGGTCATTGGAATTCAAATCTCTTAGCTCCTTCAACTTAACATCTGAGATGGGGAGACTAGACACAACACTATGAATAAAATACTCCATGTCTTTATGCATGTCACTGTCACTGGGCATACTGGGCATACGGGACGCACTGCATGCCCTGGAGAGGGTATCAGCAATGTATTGAAACTTTCCTGGGACATACTTAACTTTAATGTCATACTTCTGTAAAAGGAGCCTCATTTTTTTAAGCGGGGAGGAACTTTAAATAGACGCTTTTTAAAGATACTTTCGAGAGGCTTATGATCCGAATGCACTTCAACTTCAGCTCCGTGAGTATACATATTAAATCTCTCACACCCAAAAACAATTGCTAGCATTTCCTTTTCTATGGGTGCGTAATTTATCTCTGAATTTGACATGGCACGTGAGGCATATGCAACTGGTTGGCCTTGTTGCATCAGGCATGCTCCTAAGCCATCTTTGCTAGCATCAACTTGAATTGTGGTTGGTAAGCTGATGTCATAAAAGCATAAAACAGGGGCACTACTATAAACTGACTTAATTTTGGTGAGTGTAAAATCATGTTCAGGGAACCATGCCCAGGATACATCACCCTTGAGTAAGGATCGAAAAGGGGCGGTTAATTCTGACATGTTGGGAATATACTTGCTAAGATAATTGATCATGCCCAATAACCTTTGTAAGTCTTGCTTGCATGAGGGTGTGGGCATGTTATGAATAGCCGAAATTTTTTCTGGGTCAGGTGAGAAGCCCAGTTCACTAACAACTTCACCCATATCCTTGACTTAGTTAACACGAAATTGAATTCTGTCACGGTTAAACTTAATATTACGTTCTCTTGCTCTTCTCAGAACCTTGCGGAGGATCAAATCATGTTCTTCTTCACTTTTACCACCAATGATAATATCATCAAAAACTAGTAACGCACCTGAAATATCACCGAAGTGTTTCTCAACCATTTTTTGTGCAACCTCGCCTGCACATGAAATACCAAATGCAATTCTTTTGAACCGAAACCTGCCAAAAGGTTAGGTGGAATGAGATATCCAAATAGGCTTTTAAGTAAGAATTTGCCCCTCTGTACATACAATTATCCATTTTATAGTGCTTACAATAGTTTGAATCACCAGGTTAATTTTGGCTAATTTAAGCTTTGTACTGATATTGAGAAGAATCCAGGACCTTCAGTTTATGTAGATGCTACAAAAACAACTCATGCTCCATACTGTCAACGAAACGTTACAGTATTTGGGGAAAATGCTGGACAACAATGTGTCGCAATGAGTCTGTGCGCTTTAATTTACAGTAAGATAACAAAGATTACTTCAGTTGATGATATGACTCAAATAATGATTGTTGGTATTCAATTATATTCTAGTCTGTCACTGCTTGCAAGACAATAGAATTGCCAGGAATGGTTACAGTGTTTGAGCAATTTTTCCACCTCGAATACAGTGACAGTTATACTTGTAACATCCATAGTGACCCCAGATTTGAGGGGTATCACTACTGTATATGCCACAAAACTACAAAAGAATAAAGTCAATCTTGTTAAAGGGCCATGATTAGTTTTACTATAATGTGCCCTTCTCCATTCTAATTTTCTTCTTTTATTATTATGTACACGTAGTTTAAGCAACTTTGTACCAATTGATATTGTACAACTATTGTATTATTGTAAAACTAATGTATTATAGGATAGAGCAAAAATAAAAAATAGAATAAATAAATATATGCCACTCACAGGGTACAGCATTTGAAACACTCTTGGCACTGAACTACAACTATTCATTTTAACGGTGGCAATTATTGGTGTTGGTATCTACAGCATTGAGGCTGGGGGATATAAAGTATTTGATTCTCATGCTAGAGATATGTATCATAACAGTCATAGTGAAGGGACGTGTATTGTTGGAAATACCATCCATGCATAAATTAGGACAATATTTTCAGACTCTACATAGAAATGAGGACATACATATATGAACTTAAAGGCGTACGTATTGCCACCTTTGAGCTCATCTTTTCTCAAGCAACTTTGAACATTGTAGTATATCAAATGTTAATAGTTACCAATGTTCCTGTAACCAGTGCTGCCCTATAGCAGTTTATGCAATGTGCGTGTGTTACTCTCTTATTAATCCTTGTGGATACTGGACTTAAGGAACTTTATTTGCCCTTGTTAGTAACCGGAATACCCTGTACAATGTGATGGGTGTGAAAACACATCTGTCAGTCAATCTTCCTCAAAGTGTCAATATCAGTGGAGCTGAGATAAATCTTACTCTCCGCGCTGTAACCACTTACCGGTATGTCCTATGCTGCAATTTGGCTCCAAGCATGTCGGCATTGAAGATGTGCAAATTTTCAAACATTGTCATGAAATGACAGCATTTTTTTTGTGGATTGGGACATACGGTGTAATGTGTGATTCAGCAAACAAGTAGAGTAAAGGATTTATCTTCTCTGGTAATATATGATGACAGTTGCTTAGCGGCAGTAAGGCATGTTCAAAGTATCCTACGCGTAGTACGACCACGCCCAAATATATACGCTCTCACAGCCTCTTGTTCTCAAAGAACTTGACACGTGTTGGTGCAAATCACGTGATCTTGTTACAAAGTTCAACCAATCATAACAAAAGGGGTGTTAATTTTCCCTTGAATTCGGTCAAAGCGTGCACCTAACCTATATTTATTAGCCGAAGAGCCTTCGAGTTTGCTTAACACTTACGTTTTTCTCGAGGATACACCCCCAGTTTGTTAATCTTTGAGGAATTCATTACCTCCAATCTCGGACAGACAGAAACGCCGGCTCTTCCTAAACAAACAAAGAAATATAAACAAAAGAAAAGAAGAACATAGTAAGTTTGCGTAATAAGGCCTCAAAGATTTTCCGGTTTCAAATTTGTCAAGACTTTGCAAATACGGGAAAGATTATAACGTAAATCAGCTAAAAAGTCAAGAACTGTTACTGCTGTCACATTCATTAGGCGAAAGCCTTCTGAAAGAGTCACTGTTAGTCAAGTCAGGATAGTTCAATCTATCTACTTGACTAATGACTTAGAATGTTTTCGCCTAATGAATGGACAAGCGTGCTTTCAGTATGCGTTTACTGGCAAATTATTACTGCCAGTTCCATGTTCCATGAATCATTTCTTCAGTTAAGGCTTCGTTTAATGACAGAGGAAAAAACTGAATAAAGAAACCTGCTGGAGCCCATACGCAGTCAGAAATACTAATGACATATGGTTGCTAACCAAACAAATGCATATACTTGAAAGCTTTCGAAGTAGTAAGACTCATTACATGTTTTATAGCTATTATCATACTTAAATTTTGTTACAAATTTTGGCGATAGTAATCAAGAATTTTATATAGTTTATATTGGTTAAAACTTAGCTTATTTCTCTGCTCACTTAGTCAATAGAATAATCAGCCAATTTCCACAGAGTCATGGTTGTATTCGCCATGCACTTCCGTGGCAGGTTCCTTGGAGAACCGAGTGTCGACCGACGATCGACCGCTTTATCGACCGATAGATCGGTCGACACTACCTACCAGTAAACATCATCCAAGAATATTTGTAACTAATCTTAACGGCGGAGTAGTTAATAGAACTGACCTGTTTTAATGAAGAGCTCTGTCTTTAAATTCACTGTTGGTTGTAGTGATAACTTTAGGCTTGACTGCATGACCTCTAAAACAAGAAAAGGACAGATGTTTGTCAAAACTTAGCTCTAGGCTCTCTCTTAACTTTCCACGACTCATTCGAGCACTTTCTCTGACACTGAAGGAGCTTGCAAATCTTGTATTTAATGCCCCAAGGTACATAACAGTTAATGTTGATGCATGATCAAAATACTGTTTTGTGCGGTGTTACAGGACCTATCGTCCCGATTTTGAAGATATATGGAAAGTTAATAAAAGTTCGATAAATATTCGATCAATAGGCTTTTAAGGTTCTAGATCATTCTAAGTGGTTACGTTTAAAAATGCAACATAATGAATAACCAATTTACTGATAAGCTTTGCATGCAATATTAACAGTGAATATTAACAGTGTGCTTTTTGAGAGTGGGAAAGTACAAAAAAATATTCGCGCAAGGGAAAATTAAATGAAAAAAAACTTTTCTAATGGTCCGTACCTAAGTTTAATTTTGGTGGAGTTCCTCTCCTTCTCGCCGACCCCATCAGTAAACGACACTAAAAAGCATCGTTTACCAGTGGAGAAGCCTTCTTTATCAGTAGCGCACAAATAACCTTTATCAAAGGTGGACTGAGTTACGTTCGGCAGAGTACTGAAAAAGCTAGTTTATCAGTTCATCAGCGGGATGGATTCTTATAATAATAATAATAATAATAATAATAATAATAATAATAATAACTATAAATGTTATTTCAGTGCCGTAGCCAGACCAAACGGCCAACCGAGGCAGGCGGGAGTTGCTAGGGGGGTTCGGGGGCATGCCCCCCCCCCCCGAGAAATTTTGAACTTTAGTCTCTAGGAAATGCGATTTGCAGCGTTTTCTGGGCCTTTCGGTAACTTTTTTTCGAGTTAATTTAAGTGGAATTTAAAAAGCAATAATCAGAAACAAGCTACATAATCTGGGTGACCGTTAACCTCGCCAATGGTTTTGATCAGTATTTGTTCAAAAAAAAATTTGAGTTAACGTACGTAGCCCCTTGAGATCGATGATATGGTAATTTTTTCATAGTATATTGACTGAATTGCTGAATTCTTTGTAATATCATGATGCGTTAAAAATATCCGATGATCGCTTATGTAAAATAAAAATGATCCGCGAAATTCGTCAAAATTTTACCGAGGCGAGTGCCTCGGTTGGCCTCATACTAGCTACGGCGCTGTCTTTAGCCAGGGATATCTCTTCAGCATAAAATGCTTCTATCAATGAGGACCCTTGAAATTCACGCTTTGTGGTCTTACTCGGATTAAATTAAGCCTCAGTATATAGTTCTGAACGATTGAGGCGACAGTAGAGATAACATTTAAGCCAGTCTTGAACTTAAACTGAAGTTTATTTCAATGACCGCGGTCGCGATAATCAAGTATTCTGAAAAATCGGCAGGTTGTCGGTCAGTGTTTTATTCTGATATGGAAATTAAACCGTACAACATCTTAAGTTGTTGTTGAACGCTGAAACATGAATTGAATAATAATAATAATAATAACACTTATATAGCGCTTATCCGCATGCGTTCTAAGCGCTTTACATCCAGTGTATTACAGTATGACTTAGAAATATAAAAACAAAAGATTGAGTTATCTAAATTAGATTAAAAGCGCATTTAAAAAGGTGTGTTTTCAGTTTAGATTTAAAAATATTTAAACTGGGCGAAGACTTGACTTCTAAAGGTAAGGAGTTCCATAAAAAGGGAGCAGCTACTGTAAAAGTTCTAAAACCATAAGACTTAAGGTTGAATGAGGATGAATGAGGTTGATATAATCAGGTAGCAACGAATATACATATCACAGAGTCTTGAATAAAAACAAACCAGTAGACTGGTTTGAAAGTGAAATAAGTCTGTGTGCACGCGGCATGTTTTGAATCTGTCGTAGCTGTCGTTTCCATATTTAAGGCTTCACCGTCGCGAAACGAAAATGGCTATAAAAGTCGGGAAACCTTGTAGGACGACAAAATAGAGCAAAAGAAAACTTCTGAAAAGTTGCAAATCATCCTTTTACGTGTAGATATTTACACGCACAGCATGATGCAGCTGGGAATTAGGAAAAACATATCGTAATTCACCCACCGGTGGAACATGTAGAATGAACGTTCAAAGCAGTCGCATCTTTGGCAACAATATCGTCTGGCTGCGTCCTCAGTGTAATTGCACTATGTTTCTCCATTGTGAAAAAGAAAATCAAGATCAGCGAGCCGCTTAAAAGTAAAGCTGCAACGGAGCCTTTCAAAATGCGTTTACACCTCCGGTACATTACGGTAGTTCAGAGCGTTTGCGCTTTGTTGACGGACGATCAAGCTACCAACATCACTGCTCTTGCACTGACGCTTTGGAAGTTCAGTCAAGCCAATCCGGGTACAATGCAAGTGACGAATGCAGGGCCGTAACCCACCTGCTGCCCAGCCGTGAATGACAGTTCTAAACACAAAGAACCGGCTTTAAAACCGGCTGTAAACACATTACCGTATTTATTCGAATAAGCGCCCAACCTCGAATTAGCGCCCACCTCGAATAAGCGCCCATCCTAAAGGCAGAAAAAGTTAATAAGCGCCCAGCCTCGAATAAGCGCCCACCCCACCCCCTCCCCCTCCCAATCAAACTCAATTAGCGCCCACCCCCACCCCACCTACTTGAGCGATAATGAGATTGAAATTGAAATTGAATAAGTACTAATAAGAGACTTCCTCGAAGACGGAGTGTTCTTCCGAGTACCGAGAAAACCTTGCTTTGTTACTTCTTCACGTTTTGTTACTGGCATTTACTGTTTTTTTTTTTGCAAAATAAAAATACTACACTAACTGCTGAAAATGGTGAAAATTTAATAACCGCCCAGCCTCGAATAAGCGCCCACCTCAAATAAGCGCCCACTCTCAAGGTCCAAAAATTTAATAAGCGCCCAGGGCGGTTAATCGAATAAATACGGTAACTGTAGCGTGAAATTCATCGGTCTCCTCGATTTGGCAAAACCAAAAACCTCACGGCAAAAACAAAATACCTCACGGCAAAAACAAAAACCTCGCGGCAAAACCGAAAACCTCACGGCAAAAACAAAAACCTCACGGCAAAAACAAAAACCTCACGACAAAACCAAATACTTCACAGTAGAAACCAAATACCTCACGGCAAAAGCAAATACCCACGGCAAAACCAAAGCTATTTTGCTTTTGCTGTGAAGTATTTGGTCAACTATTTGGTTTTGCCGTGAAGTATTTGGTTTTGCCGTGAGGTTTTTGGTTTTGCCATGAGGTATTTTGTTTTCGCCGTTAGGTTGTTGGTTTTGCCGTGATGTTTTTGTTTTTGCCGAGAGGTTTTTGGTTTTGCCGTGACAGTTGTGGGCCACCATACAATTATGATTGACGGCAGCGAAAAACGCAATTGAGAAGGCGGATTTTAAACTTTAGAGTTCGCATATTTGTGAAAACTGCAGTAAAGAAAACGTTCTCTGGGGTATCATATGGTCTGCAATGGGGAAACAAAGAAAAAATACATTAATCACATACACACGAAACAAAGAACGAGCTAAAATGGTATTATTTGCTCGTAATCATGCCAGACTCGTAGCCACTCATATAAAATTCCCTCGGATTTTATAACATGCAACGTTCAGCCTGTGAACAATTTCAGTAATGTCTGCTGTCAGACGTCTGATGTCCCTAGATGTCAGACTTCTGATTTTCGATATCTGTATGATGTCTGATGTCAGACGTTTGATATCTGATATATATCTGGTGTCTGATGTCAGAAGTCTGATGTCTGATGTCTGATGTCAGACGTCTGGTGTCAAGAAGTCAGATGTCAGACGTCTGATGTGTGATATGTTTGGTGTCTGATGTCAGACGTCTGATGTCAGCAGATTTGAGACGTCTGATTTCTGCTATATGTTATGTCTGACGTCTGCTGTCTAATATGTCTGGTGTCTGATGTCAGATGTCAGACGTCTGATGTCTGAAGTCATATGTCTGGTGTCAAGAGGTCAGATGTCAGACTTCCGATCTGTGACATATGTCTGATGTTAGATGTCAGACATCTGTGTCAGATTTTAGACATCTGATGTGTGATATATGCAGCCTAGTCCCTA